CTAACAGTGATTGCCCACGCTAGAGCTGAAGAAAGGGATGCCACACTCAGGAACAGAAGCCAGATGTTCTGACCACTGGTCCCCTACTCCATCTACCCCACACCATTGCTTTTGCATAACGTGATTATAGCAAGATAGAAACAATAGATGCAGTTCTACTATAGGAATTGTTTTTCTACGTGGTTTAGTTCTTCTTTACTTAGAATAATTACTTCCCTGACATAGTTCCCATCCTGTTCAGAAGCCAAGCAATGGCCATGGCTAAAAGCCAACTATGGCCAAGCGTACTGTGGCTATAATTTTGGAAATTCATTTTCAGAACAAAGACTTACGCTTCATATAGTAAAATACAATCAGAACACTGAGCTGTGATATGAAGCAGTATAATATATTGCTGGTATGTATTAAAAAGCTGTATTATTCTACATAGATATAGTCAGAGTAGTTCTTACAGTGAAAAAAGTCAGGAAGTGGACTGGACCAGGCTGAACCCAAGTCCTATTTTCCTCAGAGTTAAAGAGACCAGTTCTATGGTGTGACACTTCTTGCAATATTTACTGGAAGAAGGAAAAAAACCCAAACAACTAAAGAATAGGAAATCTTATATTAAAAATGAGTAAACTTACCTTTTGATCTTAAGGGCTGTGTTTAGGCTATGGTAAAGCAGTGTGGAGTAAAGCAATTTCATTTCTATTTAATTTATATTATGATATTGATAGGATTAGCAGTAGCAGAGTATCCCAGTAATTCACAACACAGAGGTGCTATTACCAACATCATAATTCTACAGATGAAGAAATGAAAGTCCAAATCTCAAAGCTATTAAAGGATACAGATAAGGTGTCTTGACAAAGTGACTCGCAGTATAGTCTGTTAGGAAATCAAATTCAGGTTTCTCAGTCCCTCAGCAGCACTCACGTAACTAGCTCAAGGTGTGCTTTCAGTGGGATGGTTTGCTTTTGTTACAATATAAAATAATTTTAACCAAGACCATATAGTGTTACTGAGTCCTATCCTGTGTGAATTCAAGAACTGTTCACTCTCACTTGTACTCTGAGGAAAGTAACATGTATTCTTTTAAATGATCTCTTTGAATCTTTGAAAGCGATCCTGTGTGTGTGTGTGTGTGTGTGTGTGTGTGTGTATGTGTGTGTGTGTGTGTGCTTGCTAACAACTCAGAACTAATTTATTTTCCCAGGCATATCTCTGCTTTTAGCAGCCATTTCTCCTGGTCTCCAGTTATCATCACATGGTAATTCAAAACCAGCCTATTGGCATCAGAATTATTTGATCTTCAGGGTGAGAGGACAATGAAGGTTGTGGACATTTCCACAGAGCATGTGAATGACACAACAGAAGGCCTGGAGCTGACAAAGAGGCTCCTCACTCAGACAGACATTCAATGTTCCGAGGTATTTAATTTGTTTTCTGTCTTTTTCTGGGGGTAAAAAAAAACGTTGGGACATCAGTCAACAGACAATGAAGACAGGGCCATAGAGTAGTTTTGGGATGCAAAAATTTAAACAATCTCAAATGCTGTCTACAATCAAACTTTTACTCTTGATTAGACATCTAAAATGACTGTGGGGTGGATAGGCAGCAGCTGCTGGTTTTATTCTGTGGCATTAACAAACGTGGCAAAGTTGTGGAAGCAGGACCTTTGGCAAAGGTGATCACCTGAGTCAATCAGACATACACAAGTCCATAGGACAAAATGTGATTATTAAGATGGGGCTGAGAGAGGTAGCGAATGTCACTGCAAGTGCATTCCCTGTCCTCCTTGGGAGGCCATGGTAATTAGAGATGATTTGGGATCATTGGAAAAAGGTAAACTTCACAAATGCCTTCTTAAAGAAAGTCAAGAAGTACTTGTGTGATTGCACTTAGGATGATCTGCTCCATAACCTTGTCAGGCACTGAGGTCAGGCTGACGGGCCTGTAGTTTCCTGGGTCCTCCTTGCAGCCCTTTTTGGGGATGGGCATGACATTTACCAGCTTCCAATCATCTGGGATCTCCTCAGTGAGCTAGGACTGTTGGTAAATGATGGAGAGTGGCTTGGCAAGCTCTTCTGCCAGCTCCATCCCCTAGGATGGATCCCATCTGGTCCCACAGACTTGTGAGGATTCAAGTGGCTCAGCAAGTCACTAATTGTCTCCTCCTGGATTACAGGGGGGATATACAGCTTCCTGTCTCTGTCTACTAGTTCTGGAAGCTAGTTGTCCTGAGGACAACCTGTCTTACTGTTGAAAACTGAGGCAAAGACGTTAAGTACCTCAGCCTTTTCCTCATCTTTGGTGACTATGTTCCCCCCATGTCCAACAAAGAATGGAGGTTTTCCTTGCCCCTCCTTTTGCTACTGATGTATTTGTAGAAGCAATTCTTGTTATCCCTAATAGAAGTGGCAAGATCAAGTTCAAATTGTGCCTTTGTCTCTAATTTTCTTTCTACATGACCTAACTATTTTCCTAAACTCTTTGTGAGTATCCAGCCCTTTTTTTCCATAGTCAGCTCTCTTTTTGTCCCCTAATTTCCTTCAAAATCTCTCTGTTAAGCCCGGTTGGCCATCTCGCCCATCGGCTCGCCTTTCGGCACACTGGGACAGCCTGCTCCTGTGCATTCAAGACTTGCTTCTTGAAGTATGTCCATTCCTCCTGGATCCCTTTGTTTTCAAGGGCTGTTTCCCAAGGTACCCTTTGAACCAGTGTTCTGAGTAGGCCAAAATCTACCCTGCAGAAGTCTAGGGTGCAAGTTTTATTGATGGGCCTCTTTGCAGCCCTGAAAATTGAAAATTCTATTTCATGGTCACTGTGCCCCCGATGGCTTCCGACCACCACATCTCCCACCAGACCCTCTCTGTTTGTGAACAGCAGGTCTAGCAGGGCTGGACCCCTGGTAGGATCATTTACCAGCTGAAGCAGGAAATTATCCTCTATACACTCTAGAATCTCCTAGACTGCCTCTTCTCTGCTGTGTTGCGTTCCCAGCAGACATCTGGCTGGTTAAAGTCACCCATGAGAACAAGAGCTGATGATTTTGAGACATCTGCCAGCTGTTTGTAGAATAATTCATCACCCTCATCATCCTGATTGGGTGGTCTGTAACAGACTCCCACCAGGTTGTCAGCCTTGTTGGCCTTCCCCTTCATTCTGATCCACAGGTACTCAACCTTATCGTTGAGTCCCAGAGGAGCTGTCTCCAAAGGTATTACATTTGGAGATACTCAGAACTTGACTGGATACAGCTCTGAGCAACCTGTTGTAGCTTGGTGCTGCTTTGAGCAACAAGTTGGAATAGATGACCTGATGAGGCCACTTTCAACCCAAATTATTCCATGATTTTGCAATTCCAGGTGAGCCCCCAATGACTTGCATTTATTTGTATTTTGAGAAGATAGCAAGTCCTAACCTGAAAATTTAAGGCAGAAAATCCATTTCAACTATTACTGCTGTAATAGTGGTTTCAGCCACAGTGATAGAAACGACCTCTTCCTCCCCTCTCAAATTGCCTTCTCAGTTATGATATGTGAAAGACTGCACAGAAATCAGAGACAACCAAGTTTTACTTTATTTAGATAAAACCCCAGCCAAAAAGCAGATGATCATTTCAGTGTGCTTTATTAGGCATCCTGTCTATACTCTCATCAATTTGTATCACTTGTCATTACCTCCTGGGAGGGTCCTCCGGACACATCCAACTTTTTATGAAGTGCTAGCACGGTCCCTAGTGTAGCCTCAAATGGGCCACCATAGAAACACAAATGCAAAGATATCCTAAAAAAACACAGTACACACAAAGAGATTTTACTCTCCCAAGTAATTTTGGACAAACAGCTAGGTCACTCCCTCACCCTCTATTTTCAGCTAGGAAGAAGCCCTTAAAATGACAACTGTAAGGGCAGAAGGGACAAAATATATCATTCTCAGCAAGCTGCTTGGGTGTGGGAGGTATCCTCAATTTCCCTCTGGAGAGCAGGAGAATGAGGAGGGCAGGGAGCCTTGGGCTGAACACAGCTGGCTGTCACTCCCTAACTCTTGCACCAGGATTCATGTTCAAGTGAAACTTCTGCAGCCAGTTGCTGTTTTCATACCAGGACCACAGCATGCAAACGTGTTGGTCCTTGCTTTTAGATTGCTCAGACCACACAGAAAAAAGGCAGCTGTTCTCCTAAATGAAGTGTTGCGGGGTTCATCAGATCTTTTTGACCTTTCTTCCTTTGTCCTCATCCTCCACCCAGCAATTCAGGGCAGAGGAGTGTTGTTGATAGGTACAGTGCTGTTTCAGAAACAGTGTGATGCATAATAGGGAGGATGTCCCCACTGGGACATCAAGCTCAAGGCTGGTCAAAAGTTAGACAGGGCTTCATTTGGCTTTTCTGAGGAACAAGGGAAACAAGGACCACAGCTGGTGGGTCTGCTTCTGCCACAGAAAGGGGAAGGCAGGGGGTGGTTGCTCCATCATGCTCTGTGGGGCATGAAGGGTCATGGGAAGAGAGACTGCCTCTACTTCCAGGTGCAAACACAGTCCTCACTGCTGCAGCCTTGGCCTTGGCTTTGGCTGTGTTGGACCACCTGGCTCTGCAGCCTTGGTAAATTGGTGATGGGCCATTTTTCAGGTCTGACCATTAACTACCCTCAGCAGCTGCCTTGTTTACCTGTGCCCTAAAACAACTGTGGAAGAAAATGCCTGGGACCAAGGCAAGCATCCAAACCCAAGCTGACACAGCTCATTTAGGCTTGGCAGAGAGCAGCCCTTCTGGATTTAAAGACATTGAAAGGATGGGACTGACAAAAGGACTCTTTGCTGCCTATATTTCTTTAGAAAAGACTTGTTTGTTGTGCCACCAGTCTTGGGGCAAGGGCCTTTGAAGGAAGAAGGCAGAACTACAAGAATTTGACTGTGATCTTGAGAGGAGAGGGAAAGCAGGCTACATTCTTTTTGTTTGGTTTTGCTTGGGTTTTTTTTCTTAAAACACAAAAGACAGGGAAAACAACATACAGCAGGGATGTGCAGCTGTGGACTCCAATACGTGTTCATGGGGTGTCCATCCAGCTTGTGACTGCTGGGTTCAGCCTGATCCAGTCTACTTTGAGCTTGCTGAAACAGAGAGCAAAGACAATTAAAACATTGCAACTGATCTTCATGCAAGGTTTTCACAGATAACATGGGGATACTGACTTCAGTGGGATTTAGGTACCCTATATAACTTTGGGAAACTGGACTCGAGGGTCTCCTCAATTGCTGTAGCTCTGAGCCTTGTCTCCAAGCGTGGTGTCTGACTTTAAGCTATTGATTACTGGGGGGTCCATGTGTGTGTGTGATATATTAAGTCATCTGACAACAAAAACTAAGCATTCCTCAGGCTGTCAACCCACAAAACTATCTTCTTTAAATGTATGCAAACTGAAACCATTTTGTTTTAGTTTGGACTGGCAAATCCTCCTTCATCTTCCTTGAAGCCCTTTGTTTCACAATGCACCAGTGGAGAGCTAGGATGCAGGAGCAAGCCTTCTCTCAAAAATGGCAAAACATCATGTCCAACTGACTCCTCCAAAACCCACAGGGAAATAAAGACAGAAAATGCAGTTCTGGGCTGGGAAAGGTGGAGGAGGGAAGTGGCTCTGCCGGGCAAAGCAGAGTGGCCACATAGAAACTGGTAAATGTGGGAGACTCCCATTTTCTGAAGCTGCACTCATACATTATGACCAGGGTGAGATGGTGGAGCACAGCTGAAGTCACTCCCATTACCTCAGTCTCCTCTGGAAAGGAGATGTGGCATCCTGCAGATGTGTCTCTAGTCCACATGACATGAGGGTTGGAGCACTGGCAAATCTTCCTGTGTAGCCCCAGTAGCCCTACAACAGCCACAGAAGTGCTCAAATAAGAACTGGGAGGACTACTGGGATGATCTGTGGTCAAAAAATGAAGGAACTGAACTAATGGAAAGTGCAGATCCAATTTCTGTTTGACAGGATTTGAAATGTTTCTTTTTTTACCAGTTTATTTTTATATTCTTCTTAAGACTTATTAAATTGGCTTAAAAACATAACTGCTAATCACTAAATATCCAGACTGCCAAGTTAAAAAAAAGCCATCATTTTCAGAAAGTGAAAATAGACATGATTTAGATATCGACATGTATAAAGCCATTTGCTAGAAACATTGTTCATAGCATGGCAAACAGCAAAGATTGGATTAATTTAAAGTTGAAAAATTTTGCTGCTAAGTTTTGTCTCAAAAAGAAAAAAAGACAACATTGCTGAGAACATTTTAATATTGAATCATTTGAGCATCTGGAAGCACAAATGTAATTTCAAGACCAAAAGAAAGACAGGAGGGGAGAAACCCAAACAAAACAAACATTTCCTACCAAATCCAAATACTGTAAACAGTGAAAAACTCATAGCCGTGTTTGGATGCAACTCCGTATGGGTTAGCAGTGCTTTGAGTTACCAACCCACCCTTCACAGACACATGTGATGCAAACGCTCGTGTTTCATAAACCTACGTGCAGAGCCCCTCGACTTTTGGGGCCGAGTTTACAGGAAAATGCTCTTTTTTGTGTAAGCTCTTTTTGTGTATGTGCCAAGCCGAGGTGCGTGGGCACCTGCCTCCCGCTTAAAGCAGGCCTGCGACTGATCAGGTAGGGTTGCGGTTTGGATCCCGGGCGGTGGCGGTGCCGTCCCCGGGCGGTCGCGCCCCGCGTGTCCGTGCGGACGGTGCCGCTCCGTGGTGCCGTGCCGGCACTGCAGGCTCTGCCGGGTGCAGCCGGCCCCGGCAGCCTCCCCGGCTCCGAACAAAGGGAGGGGGAAAGGCCGGGGGGTGCAATGACAGGAGTTATCTCCGGGTGGGGATTCCAGCACGGCCGGGCTCCAAGGATGTATCTGAGCACAGTCACTCAAGGTGACAAGGGTTGGCCAGCCTGGAGTTGGTTTCATTTCTTAAAACACGGGCTCAGCATGATGTGGCTCAAGCTTGGCCTGTAGCACCCAAATCTCCAGGCCTGGAAGGGTTCATCATGGAACCCATGAGCCAACAAAAAAACACCCTTTGGAGCAGTGAGGACCCCATATTCCAGAGGATCCCAGTCAGCTAAGAACCAGGTGAAATTAAATGAAAATTCCTCGCCTTTCCTTTATCTGTCCAGATCATATAAGGATTCAGGATGAGGATGTTTATAAGAAGCCTTGTTTTGTAAATGGGGGACTTCACAGACCCTTGTGTTGTGCTGCAGCTGCTATTTATAGTAGGAGTTATGTCAGTGAGAGACCAAGAGGAGCCAGGGACAGCAGGATGTAGTTCAAGGCCCTGTTTCCAGCTTGCCGAGAGGCCTGGGGCAGACAAGTCCTCCTCTCCACACCCTGGTGTTCCTTACCTGTCCCCATTCTGCCTGTTCCTGTCTTTCTGCTGTTCCTGACACGCCAAAGCAGTGCCTAGAACAGAGGGACATCCGTCTAGATGCTGCCATCATGTAGATGACAATAGGAATAACGCTAACAGATGGCAGGTCTTAAGGGGAGCCGCTGCCACCAATGCAGGCTGGCAGACAAACATTCCTGCTCTGGCAGCTGGAACAACAGTAGCGCAAATGAAACATGAACAATTTCCTCCCCGCCAGCAAAGAAAATAGCTCCAGGGAGAACCAAGGGAGAATAATTGCCAGCCTCCTCTAGGTATCATGGGAACAGAGGCCATTCAGTAATCCCGGAGTAAACAACTGCTTCTGATTTTTAATACAGAATAAACCCCCAAGAATCTAAGAGCGGGTACTGCACAATCACTGAATTAGCTGCTCCAGTGCCCACCTCCTCCTAACCTTTCACTGAAAATCATTGAAGTGAGACATGCAAGAGTTTTATTCTAACCAAAATGGGCTCATAACAGAGGGTGAATCCTCTGTCACAGAATTATGCAAATATGACAAATACTTAACACTTTTCCTGCTCCTGTCTTTGAAGAAGATGCTGATCATTAGAGCACTGAAATTCCTCCCAGCTTCAGCCCCTCTCTTGGGACTCAGACAAATCTCTGTCTTCAGATGCTTTTTTTTTTCTTTTAGTCATGGCTAAAATACACTGAAGCCTTATAACACGTACAGCTAGGCCTGATAAATGTGGCCCCACAAACTTCCAGTAACAGCAGGCAGGGCTGATGCTGGTATTCACAATGAACATGGGTTATCTGATATCCAAGGAGCTACAACAATGTAGAATCCCTGTAAGCCTCAATAAAGTCAAAATCCTGTAAATACTTGCCAGTAATTCATAATAATATACCCATCACTGGTGTTATTTGGTTCAATGGGACTACTCACCACAGAAGGAACTGTGTCAGACTATCCGAATGGCTGCACTCAGGCTTTCCAACAGCAGCTAATTATAGATAAAGGGAGTAATAAAAGAGTAGGGTAGACATACCTCCCTGATGTATTTTCCTGTAACTTCCTATGCCACTGGCACCAGTACCTGGCTTTTTGGCTCCTAATGGGGGGAATGTTCTTTTACCTCCTGAGAAATTCAACAGACACATCTGTCTTCATCACAGCAGGTACCAGGATTCCCTCCAAGCAGGGGTCTCAACTATGATCATTTTATGCCATAGCCTCTACTTCACTTATATTTGCAAATTAGCCTGTTAAGGATGTTTCTCTGAATTAAAGGACTTGTATATGGATGATGCAGTAAATATATGACTGCTAGCTTTTCCTATCTGCAGGAACCCACTGAGCAAACTGCCTCTGGCTCTGGTATAAGAAAACTGGTAAATACAAAACTGCCAAGAACACACACTGTAATGAGCACAGCTGCTGTTAAAAAAAACAAAAACAAAACCAACAAACAAACAAAGGCAAGATATTTCTATATCCAGGGCTTGGAGAGAAATTGCTTTTCATACCCTACAGCCTGGCACAGACACAGGCTAAGAGGAGAGGCCTGCTCAGTCCTTATCACACTTTTTCTTTTGCTTCTTTTCCTTGGTCCTTACTCCCCCTTGCCTCCACCAGTAAAACCCTGCTCTCAACTCCTCAGACATGGATGTAGCAGAATAATATGGATAGGAAGTATGTTTTTCTCTGCTAGATTTCTTGCAACCAGGAGTCCCATTCAAAAATAAATTGTCCAGCCAATATCTCTCATCCAACCTCAGCCATGGAAAAAGTCACAGAGACAGACATGAATCAGAGATGATGCTTCTAAATCTCCTTTTTTCCCCTCAGTCTGATTCAGAGGGGAGCAAAAAAGCCCAGCACACTCCTGTGATGGCAAATATTAACTAGAAAGCCTCTGCCATTCCTCAGAGAAAGACCTAAATAATTTTGCCAGGACAGTTGGTTGAGCACCACTGCAGCTCCATAACCCTTCATTTCTGTACATGAGGCCTCCAAACTGTTAAGCTCTTAGGAGAGAACAGAGTGGTGAGGAATAGGGAGGGGGTCTGGTTTGTGATGTAAGCAGCAGCCAGGCTGCCCAGGACTTTGGCACATCTCCTCCCTGTGATGGGGGGGATTTGGTTTCCATAGCAGCAATGGCGTGATTTCCCCCCTTCTTCCTACCCAGAACTTCTATTCCACAAATGCACAGGAGTTATATTTCACCCCAAGGCTTTCGTTTTCCTGCTGCACAGTTTCGCCATGCTCCAGCAGGTCTGCCTTTTGCTGACACTGGTTTGGAGAGCAAGGAGGGGCCCTGGGGATGCCGTGCAAGCATTGCTCTCGCTTCCCTCTCTCCCTATTAACACCGCTCCACAAAAGACACAGTGTTCCCTGTCCCCAACTGACTCATCTTCACCGAGGTCCCCCTTTTCCTTGCTTGTCTCCAGTGATCAGCTCATGCATGACTGGCTTTCCATAACAGAGCAGAGCTGTGTGCAAGTGCCAGGCGCCCGCACAAAGCTGGAGCACTGCCTGCAGAGGAAATGTCAATACAGGAACACCAGGCTATTTACAAAACCTCTCTTTATCCTGTGACGGAGATGCATGTAGCTGTAAAACAGTGGTACCTGCATATACTCCCCTTTTGATTTTACCCACATGAAGCATATGGAGACTCTTGTTTCTCTTGATGAAGAGGACTTTTTTTTTTGCCAGTACAAAAGAGAAGAAAATATGCTCAGAAAAAGGACAGCATAACTGCAAACCACACCAACTATTCTGGGGACTCGTAGGAGGATATGAAAAGTAAAGCCAATTCATTTTTTGCAGCTGATCAGTCTTCAAAACAAGTGCTCCTTTAGTTGTACACATTTGGCATTTGTCTGCTTCAGAACCAAGGAACCAAGCTGTGTTCTTATTAATACCATAAAATGTTTTCTTCTTCAGTGTGGAGTCCACACAGAGAAGAGGAAAAATTCTCCCTGATTTTAGCAGGTTTCCCAAGATATGGGTGCACAGTATGTCGTGCACGTGTGCCGATGTTACCTGTGCTCTGGGTAACCCCAACCCATGTATCCAAGGCAGATGCACTCCAAGGAGTCCTGCTGGCAGCTGGGGTGGGGAAGCTGAGGCTTAGCGCCAGCAGCAGTCCCCAGCTTGTAGATCACAGCTGGCACTGGTCCTACCAACACAGAGGCTGTCAGGCTGAGCTAAGGCATAGGCTTTTCGGTGCAGGCTAACCATACAGGGAGAAAAGGATACAGAGCTCATCACAGCTTGGTGCCTTGGCCTCTCACGGAGGTCTCAGCCCATCCACCAGCGGGAAGTGCACAGCTTGGCATCCACCCACACACAAATACTAGTCAACACTATTCCCACTGTTCCTACCGGATTGTTCCCACACTTCAGGCAAGTTTACGTCTCTTCGTTTAGGTAAAAGAGAGTTCACTTATTGGCATAAAGATGCTTTTTCATCACTTAGGTGTTATTTATAGTCATTAATATTTCTAAGTACCTTCAAAGAAGTGGTTTGTCATTACTTTTAGTAATACCATTGGATTTAGGTGGTGGAAGAGCCCCAAAGACTGTACTCATGAATCAAGACCTCCTTGTGGTAAGCAGCGCTGAGATAAATTTGACCACAAAAATCCCATTAATTTCCATATGTCACTGAATTTTTCAGTCATCTTGGAAGAGCCTTTTCGTGGAGCGCAACATCTGTTCTGCCTCAGAAAGACAGTAGTAAACATCACATCTTAATTAAACTCTGTGTACAGTTGTGGAGACATACCAGTATCTCCTAGAAAAAAAGAATCTTAATGCCTTTGCTCCCATATGCTGAAAAAAATGCCTGTTACTGTCCTTGTTTTAGCAAATGCCAAATCTCTATTTGTCAGAGTCAAAATGGAGTTCAGACAAAAGGGAAGAGAACTATGACTCCTCTTGGAAGAGTATCCCTTGGCTGCAGAAAATAACTTTACTCTTCACGACCAGCTTGCTAAGAAAGCCCCCCTAGATGAGATTTCAGAAGTTGCAGATGTAGGCCACACTTTTAGTATGGTATTTGTTAGGTGCTTACACTCTACCCTTCCTTCCACTACACTTGAATATATCTCTAAATGTAATAGAGATAATAGGTACTATATCTATTATAATAGGCATTATATCTATTATAATAGATATAATAGGCACAAAGCAGGGTGATCCTTCTACATTAGCTACTACTTTATCAGTCAGATTCACAAATTGACTGTGATGCAAATATTTCTTATTCTCAGTTTCCCTTTGTTGTATATCTGCAATGGAACTAAAATAGTGATCATCTCATTTGAATATGAATAAAAGAGCTTTAAAAACCTGTTTTCTGCATTCAAGCCTCATTTGGGCTCTCCAAGTTTCCAAAAAAGTAGAATTTCATGAGAACTCTGTTCTAAAACTTCTTTTCTTTGAATGAGACCAAAATCAAACTGGAAATTCCTCAGAAGATGCACCAGCTCACTCAAATTATTAAAACATTAGTTTTAGTTGAATTCATTCAATAAAAGGATCTTTGCAGAGCCCTTCAGGATCTATTATGATATAGAAATAGAAACATTCAGAATATATAAGTGAGAATACGGGTTTCACCAAGCATCTGCTGAAGACTTCCACAGTTCCCACATTTCATCACGTTCCTTTGAAGTCAAGCAGCCTGTGAGTTCTGGATCCCCATGGCCAAAATCTCTTCATAGGAGGTAAAATAGGTGCTGGTTTTCTTATCTAAATGCAGTTGTCTGCCATGTAGGTGCCCACACCTGAGCTAGGTATACCTTTTGTAGCTAGTGGTACAACCTGTCAGACTTAAGCAGAGGAAGAAAATGAGCAGTACCCAGCTTTTCTCTCCTGGCTCTAAAGGACATCTTGGTTGACTAAACCAAGTGGAAATGTCAGTATTTCGTCTGTCTGAAGACAAAGAGTCACAGAATGATATAGGCTAGCCTGGAGCTCCACAGCCCTACTCAGAGCATGGCTAACTTCAAAGTTACATCAGGTTGCTGAAGTCCTTGTCCAGCTGAGTTTTTAAATTTCCACAGCTGGAGGTATCATTGCCTTGCTGAGTAACACCCTCACCAGGAAGGAAAAAAACCCAACTTCCACGCAATAAGAATTTACCTTGACATAACTGCTAACTGCTGCCCCTTGTTCCTTCACTGTGCAGCATAAGATCCTTTCACTCAGGGTTAGTCTGGCTCTGACTTTCTCTAAAATCCTCCATTAAGGAGGGCTATAAAAGGTGGTAGCAAGTTCCCTGGTCATGGGGCAACAATAAGCTGTATATTTTTTCACAACTTAGAAACCCCCAAAATTATTTGGATTAAGTAGTGCATGCTCAAATGCTGGGAAAAGCTTTTTTGTCCATCAGAATTTATATCCAGCACTAGTGTTGAAGCAGGAGGATTTATGCTAGGCCACTACTTTATGTTCTATTTTGGGTTCATCCTCCCTTTGGTAGCTGAGCTGGATTTACACCTCTTGGTATAATCTGGTGTTGGTACAAACGTGTTTTGCTCTTGGAGGCACAGCACAAAGGCTGTTCAACATTCCAGGCTATAACTCTTTCCCTGTAAGTCTTTCAGTCTGTATAAAGCACAGCATAGCTGAGTACAAAGCAGATAGAAAGAGCACATAGGTCACAACTACATTACTGTATGACTGTGTAATGAATCCTATGAGTGTACTTTGATTTTAAGTTGCAGTTTGTTTTGATTAGTTGGATTTCTTTTCTTCTTCTAGCAGTGACCTGCTTGTTGTTTCAAAGAAAATTAATAAACAAACAAAACCATTTCAAAACTCATCCTAATCTATTCCTGTTTCTGTTAGGGAACTTAGTATGATAGTACAGTAAGTCATCTCTACAAGGTTAAATATAAAAAAGCTGATATTCAATCAATTTTTGTTCTTTTATGGATGGTGTTGACATAAATGTTAGCCATAATGAAGAGCTTATTCTGGAGCTGTTATGCCTTTGCTGAAAGCAAATGAATGATGGCATAGCCTCACGTTCAGGAAAGTCTAGAATTGCAAAAATGAAGCAGATAGAATTAATAAAAAAATCAGAAGATTAGTGATTTGTGTCCTTGTGAAAGCCTAGGCAGATAATTTTGTAGGATTTTATTTTAAAAAGAAAATAGGAGCTGCATAAATATGTAAATGAGCCATCCAAGAATGAGCAAGCAGGAGAAATATTATTGCTATTTGGTTGTCTGGCCTGATATATATATATATATATATATATGTATTAACAGAAACATGCTTGGAGTCATACATGGCTCTTGTGTGCATTTTTAAACACAGATGCATAGCTGAAATTGTGTGCCTATGCATTCAAATAAATGATAAAACTATGGATGGAAGCATATGCATTCAAATGAGATGGCACCTCTATTCAAAGAGCAGAGAAATCTGTATGTGCCATGACTCCCTTTAAATTCCAAGAATCTTTCTTTCTGGACTTACCAGCATGTTCTCAAGCACAAAACAATCTCTTCTGGAGACCTTCAACTTCATGGCTATGTTTCACATTTTCTGCCCATAATTCTGTGCTCCCACTCAAAATATTTTCCATGTGAGACTCTCATATACTGATCGTACCACTGTATTCTTCCACAAAAGTACTAATACTTGTTTTCATTCAGGATTAATTTCTTTGTTAATTAGTATTGAGTAGAGTTTGGCCTCTTGAAGATGTCCCCATACAGACTGATGAAACTATAAGTTTTCCAGGTCCAGCTTACAGAGAACTCTTCAAAATCCAGGTCTAGTTTCCAATGTAGTGGCTTGAGTAGTACCATCACCATCACCATTCGAAACTAATATAATCTCAGTTTACAAAAGATACGATGAAAAAGATTAGAAGTTAATACTAAATAATGGAGAAAGAAGGCTGCAATGCACATCATTAAACAAAGAAATAACAAGAGAAAGTCCATGGTGGATTTCTTTGTGGTCACTTGCTGGAAAAAATGAGCACTTGGAAAATGTTAAG